ATTGAAACGACAGGTTCATTTTACTCATGTCAGTGAATGGTGTCATATTTTTAATGAGTCTATTTGGGATAAACCTGAAAAGTTGCATCAATTTCAGCATTTTAGAAGGCAGTTGTCATTCAGACATCTCTGAACTGTCCGTATCTTTTGCAGAATACCTGAATTTTATCAACCATTTGGCCTGGGCTTTTTCTCAGATAAGTAATTAATCAGTGTGACTCATTTCGCTTGTGTGGAGGTGTTGAACATAAACTTTTTTCATACAATGCTCTTACAAAGACCTTACAAATGCTATCCAGGAGAAAAGTGTTACCTTAGGCGGCTTGAAAACACAAAGCTGAATTCACTATAGAGAGGACACATCTAATTCTTGGAAAGGCCAGTGAAGCAGGCAATGTCTAATAAAAATCCCAAGTACAGGACTTGGATTTAACTCAGGCTGCAGTGATTCATGGTTTAAGGTTCCTGGCTCAGTCCCTGGTGCAAGGCATGGTGAGAGACATCCTGCTGCTTAATAATCCTACAACTGAGCTGGATTTTGCTTGGCAAAATACAAGGTGTTGCAGATGATTTCATGTGCCCACCTTACTACCAGGTAAACAGATAAAGTATAGGTTAAAGGTTATTTAAAATGATATTTGAGAATGTCAGACTGTTCCAGATGAAATGCAATGCTAATAGAGAGGCTTAGCCTGTATTTATTAACTCTGAAGTGGAAGGAGCTGTTTTTTACACTGAACTGGAGAATTTGAAGGACTAGCAGGAAGTGATGGCTACAGGATACAAAGGGGTGGGGGAAGCCATCAAGTTTTATTGCTGTTCAGTAAAAATGATCACATCACTCCCAAGTGGCAGAGCTGCATATGTAGAATAGGTTTTCATCTAGCAAGCAACCTTGAAAATGCTATACCTGACTACATGATACATGTTTTGTCCATGTCTTGCATCTGTGGTACCTCAGTGTCTTCTCTTTTCTTTCCTTTTTCCCTTTTCCTTTATTATGCAGGCATTATTACTGGATGAGCATGGTTATCACAGCATAAATTCAATTTATTTTAAGGTTTCTTTGCTAGAGATATTTATGTGCTCATTATTCTCATATTTCATATTCTTTTTGTTAGAGATGGGGCTGAATTCAGCTTATGAAGTAAATATTTCTGAACTTCACATTTCTTAATTCTGTGATGTTGTTTTTAGAGTTACTTGTGTGTGTTTCCATCTTAAGAGCTTAAAAAGGCCACCAAATGACTTTTCCTGTGAAGCCAACTGCACTTGGACTCCAGGCACTGGGTTTGCAAAGGATTCCCTTTGCCCAGGCAGGCTGTGTAATCAGGGCCATGCTAAGCACTGTGCAGTTTAGGATCACACAATCACACAAATTTAGCATGAACACAGCATGGGAAACCCAGCAGACCAGTCCACCTCAGGGTTTTAGTGCTTTTTTCCTCCTGCTCAGCTGCTCTTTTGCCAGAAAGCCAGCTTTCTTCAACCTTCCCTGTGACCCAGATCCCTTCCCCTACGGAGAGAGCTTTGGAAAACCCAGTCTGTTATTCTCCAACACCATGTTTCTTCTTTACTGATGGAACACATGAACTTGATTTTGACTGTTGGAAAACTTTACTTAGTTTCATTTTGGTTTGGCTGAAACCTTCCCCTCCTCCAATTAACGAACTTGAGACTTTTCCTGAGATGTTTCCCTCCCATCTCAGGAGGGGAGAGGTGTCTTGGGTCTGTTGTTAGTCACTGGTGTAGGAGAGGGGAAAGCTTCGCACAGCAATTCTCTTTCCATTACAAACTCAAAGGGTGTGATTTGTTCCCTCTTTCTCTTTTGGAAACTGAAGTGTTCATCTCTGCTTTTCATTGGGGAAAGTGTCTTATGGTGAATATTTTAGAGCTGTTTCAGTGTTTCATGTTCAAACTTGGATAGATTAGAGCTTTTTGGGCTTCTTACCCATGCTTGACATCACTTTGGCAATGAGAGCTCCTTGGGCCAGCCTGTGAGAGAGTCTGTAGAGAATTCCTGCTGGAATGCTGTGCTGCTCTGCTCTCTACTGAGTGATTCTTCCCGGCAAGATGTGCATTAGGAAAAATGTATTCCAGTTTCTTTGTAACTAGCAGTTTTATTATGTCTAGTAAAAAAAAAAAAAAGAAGAAAAAGGAAAAAGGAAAAGTGGAAAAAAATCTTCTCTACTTTTATTGAGAATATTGTAGCTCTTATACCTCAATTTCTTTAACCTATCAAGTGCTATTTTAACCAAAGAATCTCAGTTTTAGGAAAAAGCTTTATATCTAAAGAGGTAAAATACAGAAGGGGAATAAGAAAATATTGAGAATGTGTTCACTGAGAGATTTTGAGGCTTGAGTTTTTGGGGCTTTCAAGGTCAGGAGCACAAGCACAGCTCAGAAGAACTCATTTCAGTAAGGTCCATGAAGCATAGATTTAATATTCCTTGCATCTCTGACAGTTTTTTAACTTTATATCCCCAGTCAGAAACCATTTTCAGAGGATTATAGGTAAAATAGTTTTGAAATCAAGCCAGGAAGTTACAGACTTTGGCTGTTTTGGGCAAGAGAAAGGAGAAATTTTAGTGGCTGGTGGTCCATAGATAAAGCATTTTGCCAATAATCACCGTTTATTGCTTTGAATACAGATCTGAACTTCAGTCCCACATGAGTCATGGTCTCTAACATGGACAGTTTTCAGCTCAGAATCAACTGCTGGTATTTAAACTTGAGCGCAAACTTTGTCAGAACTTTGCAAAGATGAACATGTTTTGCAAATTGAGGGTTGCAACTGTTAATTTTACAGCCATAGCATTTTGGGTAGTATTTAAAAAGTCTAAAAGCTTAAAAATGATGCATCAAAGAATGTTGTGGAGGTTTCAGAGAACAGGAACCTTATGCAAGAATACTAATAAAGTAATTCTGTGCCCTTTTAATCCTTTTCCATGATTCAGTGTAACTTTGGGACTACTTGGGTAGAATAAATTGTATCCATTTGGTGAGTTGAAAGAATTTATTCTCTTGAGAGGGGGAAATAGATTTTCTGGCACAGTTTTCAAGATGGTGATTGTTGATAGTGGTGTGCCAAGTCAGGTTCTAGCATAGTGATGATCACTGCCTGTCTCAAGGGAATTTTTTCTCAGGCTAAACTTCCAAGGCAGTTAGCTACTTGGACTTCAGCAGGAATTTTAATCCTCTCTGAACTCTACTGGAACTCAGTAGGAACTCTGCCTGACTTTGGATGCCTGTAAGAGCCTGAGCTGGTACTTTGGTGTGCTTCAGACACCTTTGGAAATCCATCCATTACAAACTGTTACAAACTGACCAGAAGTTTTGGAGCACTGCCCCAGAACGGACACCGTGTTTTAGCCAGGAGACTGCTCCATTTCTGTGGTGGGAGAAGGGATGCTTAGATAAATAGTCTGTCAATTTGTTAAGCATGAGGGATCCATAAAAATCAAAGTTATTATTGCAGCAGGAATTTTCCCACAGCAAAAACAAAACAGAACTGACTTTCATCCATAAAAATATTGCAAGTGAACCACTTGTTTGCTTCTTACCTCTGTTAGCCTGTTTTATATAAGCCGGCGTACTCCTTTATGAGGACTTAGGCACAGGCATGTTGATCCTTGCATCCACACAAGAATTCTATGAGCTAAACACATGTTCTGCCATTGGCACATTGCTGCTGTCCTGCCAAAACCCTCCTCCGTGCTCGGCTTCCGCAGCAATGAGCATGGGTGGAGGAAGGAAGGAACAGCTGGGAGGTGATTATGGTTTCCTGATGCCCTGCCCCACCCATGGCACAGGTTAGCTCAGTTCTGAGTCTCAGGCAGCTGGTAGAAATCCCCAGGAGACTCTCCATTCATCCCCTGCTTTATCTCCACCCAGTACCTGGCACGCATCCTCTGCAGCAGGCGGCTGCTGTTGCTGCTGCTGCTGCTGAAGGAATTGCTTTTCCCAGTTCCATCCTCCCTCCTTCAGCTCTTTCTCTCTTTGGGATGTTGCTTGGAAGAAGAACAGACTCAGTTCTGTTCTTTGGATTTCGGGACAAGTTTGATTTTAATAGGACTTGTGTGCATGAAGTTTTATCTGGAAGCCCAGGGGGCCCCAGCTGATTTATTCTAGTTATTTGAAGGGTATGTTTCTGGAACTAATTCCAGTTAAAAAGCTGAGGTCCAAGAAGAGCAGAAAAGTATTCACTGAGGAGGGAGAGAAAATGTGCTGGGAGAAGCAGAATGAAATTTCCAAAGAACACTGTCTACCTCTGTCCTGTTGGAAAGTTCACCTTTCCCAACACAGAGGTTATCTTGAGCACTGAATGATAGATAAAGTTTGTGCCATTTAAAATACTCCTTGTATTGTCTGCGAATAATACACCCTGCCACAAATTTGTCAGCCATTTACAAGGCCAAATTCAGAATCAATCAATTTAGCAGTCTCTAATATCCCTTTGGCTGATAAATAAAGTATTTCAATACCAACACAGTGGTGAGACCAGTTTCACAGACTGGTGCTGAACCATTTGACAGCCCAGCAGAAAGCAGAGTGAATTCTGGATCAAAGGGTGACCAATGCTAAATCCAGGACTATGAGCTGCAGTTATCTGATGTCCTGGTGAAGGGCGAGCCACAAACAGAGCTATTGGCTGACACCCCTGGAAAGTAGTAGTAATAATAAACATCTGGAGGGTTTGACATACTCATGGTTGCCAGTAAATAATCCCTGGCTCTGAAGCAATTCCTTTGGAGAGGCAGTTGGAGATATGGAGAATCTAAAAAGTAATTGTGTGGTGGAATGATGGACAATATCCTGATAAATCAGGACCGCTTGTGTGTTGGTATAAGTAGTGAACAGGGTCGTAGGAAAAGGGGGAAAAAGGGATCAGGTTGCAGCATTCAGTGATAGGAGTCAGCCATGGAGGGAAGGAGATGAACCATCAAGCGGCACCTCATCCCTCTGGAGCACCTACAAATGCAGCCCTTTGTTCCTCACAGGGACCAAACAACAAAACCAATGGAGGGGGCCTGTGCAGCCAAGAAGAGAAACGTTTGTGTTCAACGTTGAGGATTTGAAGCAGATTTGATTGAGGTCAGTATAAATCCTCAAGGAAGTGCTAAGAGACTGGGATCTGATCTGCAGAGTTGCCTGTTTACATCCCAACCTGCAAACATGAGTCCACATGCCCAAAGCAGCACTTCACACTTTGGTGTTTACTCCCAGCCATTCTCAGACAGAGATTCCTTTTGATGAACGCCCCAGTTATCTGCCTGCTGCAGCTTTCATCTGATTTTCTGTGGCTGTCTTGTCCACTGGATATCATGAACACACTGGTAGTGCTGCTGTCACGTATTGAGGACACCTTGGTCTGGTTTTCTCCTTTCTTTTCCCCCAGCAACCCCATTTGAGGCAATCAGGGCGTATGTGCAGATGAAATCGGTCTCATGCACCCGCACCAGCGTTATTCTCTTGCATTATAGCCTCATACCCAAGGTATTCATAACGTAATTGAGGCTGGTGGGAGCCCTGCTGTACAAACCCATGGGGCTGCTTCCCTTCAGGTAAACCCTGTTGACAGGCAAAAGGTTACTGCTTGTAGAGGCAAGTTCCTTGCCCCAGTGCACATAGTGCTGCAGATACATCATCAGATTAGTCAAATGTCTGTGGAAAGGAGTCTGTCTCCAAGGTTCCAGTTGCTCCTTGCCTGCCTTTGATATTCCTGTGCTTGCACAAGGAGTTTGACCATGCTAGCATTACGCAGGCCTCGCTCACAGAGAGCTCATTGTCTGTGTCCTTCTCCCAGCAAAGCGCTAAGGTGTGGGGCTTAAGCACAGGTGTGGGACGTGCTTCCCATTCCAATAAAAAATCAAAATATATCTGCTGCCTTTCAGCTGCAGCATCAATAACCTGATAAGATAGCTTTTACTGAAAGGAAAAAACAAATTGCTCTGTCCAGTGTTTGGGGCTACAGGTGAAGCAATTTAGAGCTGGAAGGGCACTGCTATCATTACAGCCATAGGGCTTTCCTGAAAAGAATCCTAGATGAATCCCAGTTATTCATTAGATGTCATGTAAGAATCAAAAGAAAAAACCAAACCAGAAAAGGTCTTATGACACTGATGGTGTTTTATGCACTCACAAAACTGCCACAGAGAGGTTCCAAGGTGTCCTCATTATTGCAAACAGCACTTGCATTCACACAGTCCACTGCCTGGAACTTGTTTAAGAGGTATATTTTAATTTATTTTGACATGGAATTTTGCTTATTCTTATTATTTATTTTTTTTTTACTTTTTTGTTGTAATATTTAATATTAAATGCTATTGATAAAATTTAATACTCATACTGCATTTAGTATTCTATGTCTATATCATGCTCTAAGTAACATTACATTTAGATTTTAATGTTTTAAAGACAAGTCTTTTGAGGAAATCTTCATACTGGAAAAATTTTTATTTGTTCCGAGTCAGAGCACAAAACATGTTTAGGAACACTGGAATTTCCCATGGGGCAGAGATCCTGTTTTCCAACCAACTCTGGGCTAGGAGAACTCTTTCTGATTTGCCCAAAGAAGACTTGGCTCATGACCCCTTCTGAAGTTTATTCAAGGGCAAAAGATGGGGTGATTATTGTGGAGAAATCTCATTTTGGTTAATTCCCAGAAGACCAAAGTTAAAGCCAGCAAAGATCTTGATGCTGTCTCACCCACCAGCTGTCATTTTGAACCCAGATGCTCCACATCCCTTGCCAGCTTCTTGCTGGGGGAATGGGAGGAGGAAGGCAGGGCTCAAAAATAAAATAATTTTAAAAAGAAGAGAAGGAACGTTGCATATTGTATGAACAAACTATGAGCTGATGCAAAGTGGAGCATAAATAGCAACCCTAGGTAGCCACATGAGCCACATGAGTATTTCCAACCTTATGACAAACTGTGTCCAGCTTAGCATATTAATGGAAGTGTTTAATGATGAATTCCTTCTAGCTTTTTGCTATGGATCTTTCCATTTCATGTTTTGAGGAATTCCTGTGTGTAGATACCTATGTGGTTCCCATCACTTCATTAACTAAGCACAGATTAGCAGAGCTGTCCTTGCAACACTTGGGTGGTAAAATGTTACCTCCACTTCATGGGTGCAGACCCAGAGATGCTGAGATTTTTAAAGGCCTCATCCAAAGCCTGTAGGAATTAGTGGGAATTTTTTCCTTGATTTCGATGGCTGTGGATCATGTCCCTAGTAACTTGCCTGAAGGAACTGCTGTGATGACTCAGTCAAGCTGCTCATTGAGCATTTCATATCTTTAAAAAGTTTTTTTTTTTGTCCAGCAACAAAATCTATCTGAGTATTTATTTTCTACAGTATATCTACAACTATGTTTTAAACTCCTAACTTTGTTCTTAATGCCTTTCCTCTCAATAGGAAGAGCGCAGAACAATCACTCAGGTCATTATCTTTCAAACTTTGTCAGTTATAATATAGTGCCTAAAAATACTGAAATATTTCAAAAATTACTAGTTCTGGTTGGCCTCAAAGCTGAGGATGTGTGAGGATAGCTCATTGTAAAGATAAAAATCAGAGTGGCCTGTCTTTCTCTTTTTCTGCATATCATGAGTCTACATTCTTTCTCAAAACCATTATTAGGCTTATTAAAAGTACTTGATTGAAGAATTTATATTAAAATTATGCAGATGACAAATATTTTTTGTCCCAGCACTGGAAATTCAAATTACTTGCTTTACAAAACACTGTGCTACCAGTACAGCTTGCATTCAAGTCTTTAACAGAAGTCTAAAATGTGGTTCCTTGATGAAAGCTGGAGCAATCCTCATCTTTCCCTGGTCTTTGAGCTTTGCTGTGTTTGTCAGCTCTTAGCGGGTGCGAAGTGATGCACAGCCAGCTGCCCACGAGTAATAACTGAATGCAAAGCCTCCAGACTGAATGGATTTCACCTGATACACAGGAGTTTTAATTAGAATTAATGGGATAAAACTAAGAAAAAGGCATACTTAGGCTGGATGTCAGGAAAACGTTTCTGGTGGTAAAAGCTGTCATGGTATATTCTCCCAAGGGAAGCAGTGGTAGCAATTTAAATCACAAAAAAATAGTTTGTAAAGATGGAACTATTTTTGGGCTGATGAGGACTGGTTGATTTGACTGCAAAGCTCATTATTAACCTTTTTCCTCCTCGGTCCCACGATTCATTTTATATTCTGAGTGTACCATAGAATTATAGCTTGGTTTGGGGCAATAAACCAAAATTGATAGGCCTGGAAAAAAAATATTATGTATCTGTTCCATCATTCCATGTTTATAATGTTTGTTTAGGTAACTTTAAAAAAAAAAAATCCCATATAAACTTTTTCATGATTATTTCAATTGTTCATGGGTATTAATTCATAAAAAAGAGCAAACTCCTCTGTGACACTGAGACTTTGTACCACGTGTGCTTAATGTTACAGACCTGACCAAAGAGAAAGATTGTGTTTCTTCAGCTTCATAGGATCTGTGGTAGAACACCTTTCAGATGCTGACCTCAGCACCTAAACCATACATTCCCAGTGAGGTAACTGGTCTGGAGTGGGACAGAATGAAGCAGCAGTGACTAAGCAGTGTTTTTGGTGTTCACCAGGTTACTTCTTTCATGCTCCAGATGCCTGAGGAGTGGTATAACCACGGCTCTGACTGTGACAAATGTTTACTGTCTCTACAGGGTTCCAAAAAAATGGTGCTGCTTTGTGAAGTTGCATTGTGAGCTCTTGGCTGGGACCGTGACGGAAATGCTTCCAGAGGAAAAAGCCCCAGAGAAAATAAATGCTAAAGATGTCTTCATTAACTATGCAGATGAGTCAGTTTTCGTTTGAAAATGGAGAATCCCTGCTTTATTTCTCATGCTGTGGAGGTTAGGGACCAGTTGTTCCAGCTGGAGTTACAAGGCAGTTTTAGTGAGGGCATATATTTATACGATATGTAGTTCAGTGACACTTTGAGTAAAGCATTTGAGGGTATGGAGAACAAATTATGTATAGCAGTAGCAATTGATTTGTCTCTGTGACATTTCAGTCTCACATGATAGGCCTTTCTTCAAAATCATGAAATGAAAATTATGTTTTTTCTTATTTCTAGTAGGAAACACTCGATGGAAGGTAAACCTTGTTCTTTTGCAATGTCATATAATTAACTTGTTTTATCTACCCCAACTTTTATGCCATTAATCTTTTGCTTTCCGTTAATATTTTCAGCCTTATTTTTCCCTTAGGTAGCACATCCCCTTTTTGTTGTCCCCAGAAAATAGCAGAAGTTTGGTAATTTCTATACCAGGACTATAAAACAGACCCAGTATCTTAAGTTGAGAAGTCACGAAGCTGCTCATGTTGTAAGTCAAGCATTGAGATTTTTGGACATGGCATTAGGATGTTCTGTTCTTCTCTGTTCTACCACAACCACCTCACAGAGCTGTTCTGTCTAACAAAATTTAAGGAAAAAAGAAAAAAAAAAGAAGAAAGAAAAAAAAAAAAAGGAAAAAGGAAAGGGACCTCTGAAATCTGGGATCCTGTTTGCATTTGCCCAGATTCGCTGAGGCATATGGGAACATACATTGACTGTGCAAGAACTAAATGTCCTTGTGCCTCTGTCCCTGGGGGACCGTGGTGAGACTCCTGGTAACACTGCAAATCAGGATCTAAGGAACAAAATGCTGGATTTTGTCTTAGCACTATTAAAAGAAATAACATTTTAATGATATGTGCTATTGGCGTAATCCTTCCAAAATGGACAATGATTTATATATTTCATGTGAGGACAGGATTCCTTAGGGGATGACTCATTGTTTTAGTCTGGAATAATTCCAGTGGGAACCTTTTTCAGAACTAGTTGATACATACCTTACATGGTCTTAGTTTGGGATTTTTTTGTCTTTCATTTTGTCTGATATGTGTGCTTGGCCTATTAAAATTAAACTGTCTCTTTCCCTTCCGAGTCAAATGCAGTTAGTATTTACCAAGACCTTGTATGGAGAGGGGAGTATACATATATACACACACATATGTGTGTATATATATATATACACATATATATACAAGAAATACATGCATA